AAAAAAAAAAAAAAAACTCAAAACTAGCTGGGTGTTGTGGCAGATGCCTATCATCCCAGGTACTTGGGAGGCTGAGGAAAGGGATTACTTGAACCCTCTTGAGTTGGAAGTTGCTATGAGCTATGAAGCCACAGCACTCTATCAAGGCAAAAGAGTGAGACTCTGTCGAAAAGAAAGGAAAAGGTGGAAGGGGAGGGGAGGGAAGAGGAGAAAAGAAAAAAAAAGTGCTATTCTTTTATCTAGTCTTGCAAAAATGGTAACAGACTCACAGGGATCCAGGTGCACGCTCTGGCCATAGCCTTTGTCCTTGCCAGGGCACATGATTATCAGAAGGTGACCAGCATTTTAGGGAACCTTGTATGATCCAGGAATCAGAGAGGCTGACCAAGCAGGCCTCATCCTTCACTGGCATCCTTACCTCCCCCTGCTCCAATTACCTCCGTGCCCTGGGAAAGGCTAATTCACAACCAAACCAGTGGGCATGCACTTAGCTTTGCTAAACAGGCAAACCTTGTTGCACCAGGGAAGATGAGTTTTGTGATTGCACTTCTCATTAAAGCCCCAAATAGGGGAATCATCGAGAGAGTCAACAAGTATAAGATCTCATAACTTAAAGAGACCTTGGGGCGGTGCCTGTGGCTCAAAGGAGTAGGGCGCCGGCCCAATATATTGGAGGTGTCGGGTTCAAACCCAGCCTCAGCCAAAAACTGCAAGAAAAAAAAAAGAGAGACCTTGAAAATCTTCCCCCTTTTAGTTTTTTGAACCTCTTAGCAAGAAATTTCATATCATCTTGAAGACTAAAGCTGCCTGCTAAAGTGGATGCAATTGGGTTCTTTTTAATAATAAATCTCGAAGGTTTTAGAACATATTGAACCAGTTTCTATGCCTCATATCTCTTCTATTCTTACCACTGACGAGAGAGAAATAAGAAAAAGGTGAAAATTAAGGAAAGCTGAATAGCTATTCTTGAGTTCTAGGTAAACTGATAATACTGTTACTTCAACATGCATTTTCAGTCAAAAAATAAGACTGAAATGCAGCCATAGTACAGAGTTGTTAGCACGTGGGTTCTTGGTCATTCTGTTTGTTTCATTTTCTGCTTAAAGTTGCAGTCCCAGAATTTTCCCAGAAAAATTCTAAATCCATCTCCCTAACAAGAAAATCAGTTTCACAAGTTTATAAGTGAATTTCTTATGATGGAGCAGCAAAACACAATCTGGGGCAGGAGGTTGGGCAGGTGGGGTGACTGCTCCGACCCCTGACAGACTGACTTCCCCCCTCTGCCAGCTGTGAAAGACTGAACAAGTGGGACCCCTCATTGCCTCACTGTGACAGGCTGAACTGTGTTCTCCAAAAAGATATGTTGAAGTCCTGACCTTCAGTATATATAAATGTGACCTTATTTGGAAACAAGGTCTTCACAGATGTGATCAGTTAAGACAAGGCCTCCAGGCCTCTAGGATTGGCCCTGATCTTTCACAACTACTCTTCGCAGGAGAACATTTCGATAGATACACAGGAAGATGGCAAATCAGAGTTAAGCTGCTGCAAGCCAAGGGACCTCTAGGGCTACCAGACATTAAAAGAGGCAAGTAAGAATCCTCCCCTAGAGACCTCAGAGGCGTGTGGCCCTGCTATTTCCTTGGCTTCTAGCCCTCAGAACTGGGAGAGAATACAATTCGATCAGTTTAAGCCAACCAGTGTTTGGTACTTTGTTACGGAAACCCTAAAAAAGGAATACACTCAGTATAAGAAAGCATTTAGGATCATGGCTGCAAACATTAAGTACTATGTAATTTGCTATCTTCTACCTTTCCCCTAACCACCCATTCACTTAATCAGTCAACCTTGAGTCAATCCATCTCAAAAGTTAGGAACCTCAGAGTTATTTATTTTGAACAACTACCCATTTATATCCCCTTGCACCCCAACACCCACCTGGGAAGCTGAGACTCAGTAATCAGGACTCTCTGACATGACTTGAAATAATGCCCCCTTCCTATTTCCACAGGTAGTGGCTTTGCCAACTTCTTTCTCATCTTTTAACAAAGGTTCTTCAACTGTGAACTCTTCAGATTCATCTCTACCTACCCTTCACGGCACCACCCAAATGCCCTGTACAGAATCAAATGAACCCAGTACATTCTGATTTTAAACACTTCCTTCCTTCACAATGATTTGAGGAAATGTTCCATTTTTACCTACTGCCCCCCTTCTGACATCTGAATCCAGCAATTTAAATGACCACTCCCTGTTTCTCCCTCCCCGCCACACTACTGCTATTTTTCAGGTGTGGAAACAAGAGTGTGAAACTCACTTCCGAAAGTCTGCAAGTAACTTGAGCATGTCATCATTGGATAGCTTATTGCTGTCTTGCCTGTAGATGGCAGAAAATCTGGCATTTTTGTCAAGGTTTCCAGATGCATCCTTAAACAATGTCCTGAAATAGCAAAGCAACATTTCTAAACTGTGTTTCCAAAAGACCAAAATAAACCCTCGCATAAGCCTGGTTTCTAAGGGAAGAATAATTATTGTTCCACTGGCTATAGCCAACAGAAATCTTATTATCTAAAAACATGGACAACATTTATAAGGATGGGCACAACTAACTTAATTTACACAGAAAACAGTTTGAGCTGATGGCTTGAGCTTAGGAAACAATGTAACAATCAAAAGCTTAAATAGTAGAGACCAGAGGTAAAGATCACTCCAGGCTTTGGGGCCTGCTCCACTGGAGGCCTGTGGCAGGTCCCTGGAATGCCAGCTCTGAGGCAGACACGCCATCCAACCCTGCTCCTGCTAGCTCTGGTCAGCATCTTTCCTCTCTGTGACTCTACTAAATGGTTTTTCAAATTTGGGGCTTATTTTTCAATTTCACACAAATTCTCTTTGTCTCTGAATTACAAACAGAATAGGACTATCAACCTATCTGTATCTATATAAAAGGTATAACAGGTGCTGCCCTTACCTCGCTGCCCAAGCAAATGGCATTCTGTACTGTCCCAGTCTTTGACAGGCTTGCTTGGCATTCTTCAGCACCTTCTGAGCCACCTTGAAGAAGACATCAGAATAAAGCCATGAGACACTGCATCTCACTGATTGTTATAACCCGAAGAGCCTTCAACACACATTCATTAAACAAGCCCTTAACACACTCGTAGCTTCAGATGCATGGAAAAGCACATCTGACAGTAATGAATGTGGCTGGATTCATTCTCAATGCAGAGAATGCATTCTTTACTCAATGCATTCTCTAGCAGTGATTCTCAAAGAACACACAATAAAGACCATCTCCAACATGTATGTCTTTTCTTTGGTCTTTGCAGGCAACAAACATGCAATTTCGCTGGCTTCCATACTTCCTTATGAGTAAGGGCTACTGACTGAAAGTCCAATGAGTTATCAACTTACATCAATAGTAACATATCACATTACTAGAACTTAAACGACAACCCTAATGAAAATACTAAGTTTTCACAGCTCTAAATATACACTGGTTTATGCAGATTCCCACAGTTTGGGGAAGAAGACAGCATCACAGGTACTGACTCTAAGTTAGGTTGCAGTTTTTAATTGCTATTATATTCTTGCTTTCTAAATATAAGTTACTGCTATTTTTACTTCCTATAATCAATTTTGGTTTGTTGTGGGTTGGCTGATTAATCCTACACTACACAACAAAGCTTGTTTTTGGACTAAGACATGTATGTATGACAGGTCATTATCAATCAACTATACCCTTGCTGCTAAAGCAGGTGACACCTAATTTTTCCAAATTTGCTTACGCTATGATAATGCACTATTATCAGTGCAAAGTCTGATTAATACAGAAAGTCAGAGCAGCAGGCTGAAGAGTCATTTACATTACTGTAGTACATCAGAGTCAAATCAACTTTGGGCAATGTGCTCTAGCACCTTCGAACTGAAGTGTGCTGCTGAGCTGAGGCATCCACGTCACAGTTAGAAATGCAGAGCTCCAAGCCCTGCCCCAATCTTCCTGGATCCAAACCTGCATTCTGAAAAGACCCCCAGTGATCTGTGTGTGCCATCAGTTTTAGGAATCAAAAACTAGAAGATTCAGAAGCCATCTCTTTGTCAAACAAAACCCAGCTGTGTGACCCTGAAGCTCTGTGATTTTCAACTGGTGTGCTGTGAGAGGATCTTGGGTGTGCCGTAAACATTTTAAAAGATCATTAATTCACTTATTTTTGAAAGACACTAAAAGCACAGTAAGTATATTCTTTCTTTAACTCTTTTTTATTGATTGACATTAATTTAAGTGTGCTGTGGAAGTTTAACCATAGGTTCAAGTGTGCCACGAGACAAAAAAGGTTGAAAGGACACTGCTAGGTCAGTGAGCCTCTTTGGGCTCTATTATCTTCACCTGAAAATCAGAGGGCCTGGGCTATACTTTTCACAGCCCCTCCCAGTTATAAAACTTTATCATCCTGTCATAATCATGCTGTGGGAATCACTGCTTTCATGAGTCAAATGGAAAACAATCCGATTGAAACAGATGGCTGGGGATCATCTCTAGACCCTCCCTTTCTTCCTCAGTGCTATGGTCTTGCCTCACGGGGGCACTTAGTAGGGTCACAAGGTAGCAGCTTGCCTTCATGGAGAGCCAACTTTATCTAAACATTTTCAGGTTCAAGATTTTTAGGTTCTAACTATAATGAGTATGTTATGGAGTAAAATGTAGTCTATGTATAAAATTTTAAGCTAAAACACAAAAGACTTTAATAAGTCTTACCTATAGTAAATGAGGGCTGAGCTCTAAGGCTGCCCAAAGAAGAACATAATGCATGTGAAAGTCAAAGTAAAAAACATGTTTTTACCCTTCAGGTTTTTCCTTTTCCTTTCTTTTAAAAAAATCTATAAACAGTAGATACCTATAGCAGCTTTTCATGAAAATGTCCTCCAAAATGAAAATTTACTCCAAATATGTTCTAGAGATCATCTTGGGAAAATTGAAAAGACAATGCGGAGAGAAAAAATGATTTCATTGTAACATCTCTGCCAACATTTCTATGCTGATTAAGATGGTAGAGCCTTAATTCCTGCTTTAATTTAATGCTTTGGAGGCGGTAGGAAAATGAATGCATGAATAATGTACACATGGATGAGCTTTACTTTCCACAAGTAATGAAGGAAAAGACTTCAACAGATGCTCAACGGACACTGGAAGTGTGCAGAGGAAAGTTTAGCCTACAGTGATACGTGATTCTTGCAGCAACATGAGCTGTCAAATTTCAAACCGTGCATGTGGCAGGCAGAAGTAACAAAGGTGGTGTGCATGGGCCTCGGAAATGTGTCGCATACACAGTTGGGGGAATAGATCATATCTTGGGCTTTCATTGATTATTAATCAAAACATGAAAGCTTCTCATCCAAGGTTTTAAGGACTTGGTTTAAAAAAGTAAAAGAGCTTCTCTCCAGAGACCAAGCTTTACTTAGCTTTTATCTTGAAGCAGGGCTTACTCTTTGAAGCAAGTACCTGGGTAAATGGGCTTTTACTTGACTGGGGTTGAAAATTTTAGGTTCTAACTATAATGTAATAAATGATGTGCTTTCAGTGATTTACGTACCCACAGCACTGTCTCAGTGATTTACGTGCCCACAGCACTGTCTCATATATTATCTCTTTGACTCTAATGCTGTCCCTTGGAGGAAGGTGGAGGCAAGTAGTGACATCATTTTTCATCCACAGATGTGACATCTGGAGTCAGACAGGTGATGTGATTTGTTCAAAGCACTCAGGCTAGTTAGACGCTCAGCACCCAAGTCTTCTTATGTGCAAATTTGTTCTTTCACGGCCATCCTGTACTTGGTGGCCATGCCTATGCTGTGTGAGTGCCCACAGAGACAAGGAGAGCAAGCTCTGAAGCCAACTCAAGACACCTTAGTGCCTGCCTCTAGGGTACTCAAGGCTGACACTCCTAGTCAGTGAATCCAGGACATCTCTGAGATGACTATTTATACATTTTTTTAAAGAAAAAGAACTAAAAATATTATAAAACTGGCAAGGACAATAGCACTCAATAACTTACTCTAACCAGGTAACACAATGTGCTAGAAAGTGACAGTCAAATGCCCTTTGGCCATTCTAGCTGTGAGACGCTGAGCAGGTAACTGGCCTACATACACCTCAGTGTTCTGAAGTATGAAAGCAAATCATGGGCTGGATGACTTCTAATATTTACCAGTTCTATGGGACATCCACACCTAGGCACTCCCCAAGTAATATACACTACAAGTGATGAAAATTCATCAAATATACATCTTGCACGTTCTCCTTCCCTCTTCCACCTAAAGTCAGGCCACCTCTGCCACATAACCCTGCTCCTCCAACAGAAACTAAGGGGACTTGAACCCCTGCACTATCAGCCAGCCCATCTGAGTCAAGGGCATCTCAAAGTCTCCAGGCCCACATAGAGGTATAAATAGACCAAAATAATTTCAGAGTCCAAGAGGCACATCAAAAAATAAAATGAACTCTGACTACTACATACATATTTTATAACAATGAAAGTTTACTATGTATAAAGCTGGTAATTCCTTTGCAAATTACTTCAGGATATTAGGATAGACTAGCTAACGAAGGATTTTATTCACATACAGGAATATCTTTCATTAAAAATCGACAAATTAAGTTAAAGAATAAATAAATGTAGAGTATTCTACATCTTCTGACTATAAACATGGCTTACATTAGATTTCAGATTTTTTTTTATCATCACAAAGTAAAAATGTCATTCCTACCTTAGAAGAGTCTGAACTTTTCATATATGGCTCAGCACAATGTGCAATGCTCCCCTGAAGGACCTTTTCAATTCTAGCCACAAGAAATATGTCGGGATGAGGACACATGACTGAAAATATTCCCTAGGGAAACAATTTTCTTTAGTAAGTAGAATTCACAGTTGCAGCAAACAAATCTCATGAACATTACAATAGTAAAGAACAGTGCAATAGCACAACTAGTAAGAAGTACCCAGTGCCAACACTAAACTAGGCAGCTGATCAATAGTTTGTCATCTGCTCAAAAAGTCTATGTGGTGGGAGAGGTGACCAGAGAGGGTTTAGAAAAAAGCAATGAGAAATTAAAAGCCACTTATTTCTCAGCTCACTTTTACTGTCTAACTATAAATACCGTCAATATAATTAAAGACCTAATTTACCCCACTGGTGCATTATAAGATCTCATTTTAGCATTGTTGATGTATTTATATAATGTGCAAGATAAGTCTGAGTGGCCTGAGGGCTCACAGTTCCCACCTGCTTCGGGTACTGCATGGCGGCTTCATGAAGGATGCCCTGAAGGACAGACGGGCTCTGCCTACTGCCATTCACAGGAGCTGGGGATGTGGTGGCCAGCATCTGCCTCACAGAGAAATGGTTCAGGTCCACGTGGAAATCGGCAGAAATCTTTCGGTTGTATTTTATGTCAAACAGGGACAGAGTAACAAAGAAAGGCTCAACCTAAACAAAACAAATAATTCAGACGATCACTATGGCTCAAATGATGAGGGGTAAAAAGGATGCAGCTATCAAAGGAGGAAGGACATGCCTATTTATGATTATTGCCATAAATTACTACTCAACAGTCCTATCCTTTTTCATATAGAGAATTAGGTAACAAGGTAATAAAACATTTTAGGGAACAAATGGAATTATTATTTTACCTTTATGTGCTTTGCTACTTAATGTATGCTCTAAAGAAAGCAGTTGCTTTCCCTCAAGCATCTAAGACAAAATCTGTCTCCGGGAACAGTGAGTACGATCCTGCCACCCTCATTTTTTGTCACGAACATCCTGTCCTGATCCAGACACTGTGCCTCTGCTACCAGAAACCAGGATTTCTCAGCCAGGCTGCACAAGGGCACATGGGAAACTTTTTCTTTAATCTTTATTTTTAAGAATAAAAATTACATTTGTAGTGGGTCCTTCTTCATTTTCGGCAACACAGCATTGCAAATTGAAAGATAAATCATTGCACTTGACAAGAATTCTTTTTCCAAATTTCTCTTCAAATGGCTTCACTTCTGGCTCATGTGACGAAAAGTCAAGCTTCTTCAAAAGAAAATGTAAATATATAAATGCATTGTACTTCTTTTAATATTATTTATACTTTGGATTATAGATGTATCCAAAGGAAACCATTTAAAATATGGAAAAGCTGTACACACACACTCATTTACTCATAGTAGTGTTGCTACTTTACAGTAAGTGGATATAGTTTTAATAGTTACATATAATTCATAATAATGGTCAAGTAAATGATGGCATACCTACTCAATGGATGATTATACCACCCTTAAAAATCAAGATTATGAACAACACAAGTGTCCATCGACAGGTATGTATGGATACATACAATGTGAATACACACAGTGGAATATTATTTAGCCATCAAGGGGAGGAAATTCTGATGATGCATGCTATAACACAGATGGACCTTGAAAATGGTATGTTAAGAGAAAGATAGGGGACACAAAAGGACAAATACTCTATGATTCCACATTTAATGAGGTTCCTAAAACAGGCAAGTTCACAGAGTAGAACAGAGGTCACCAGGGAGTAGGGGGAAAAAGGAATAGGGTGTTATTATTTGGTACAAAGATTCAGTTTATGAAAATGAGAAAGTTTTAAAAATCAGTGGTGGTAATGGTTGCACAACAAGAAGAATGTAGTTAAATGCCACTAAACTGTATGCTTAAAAATGGTAAAAAAGGAAAATTTTATGTTATGAATATTTCAGAAAAATAAATAAAACTGCCTAAAAGCAAAGAAAAAATATACATACACACATTCATATGGTTATGAGGTCTGTAAAGAAATATAGAAGAATACTTATTAAAGTTAAATGGGAAAAAAGGTTTTATATCTGGGACTAAGCCTCAGCTAGCTGGGAATTATCACTGACTTCCAGACTTCTGTAGTGATAACCTGTTATTTTCTAATGGTTATTTTAACAGGTAAATTGTATATTCACTATAAACCTAAAAATGTCTTTGGATAAATCTATCTCAATTTTCAACAATCATACAAATATTCACCACAGTAATGCTATGTTGATGAGATTATAGGTTGTTTTCATTTTCTCCCCAATTTTCTTTTTTTTTTTTGAGACAGAGCCTCAAGCTGTCCCCCTGGGTAGAGTGCCGTGGCATTACAGCTCACAGCAACCTCCAACTCCTGGGCTCAAGTGAGTCTCCTGCCTCCGCCTCCCAAGTAGCTGGGACCACAGGTGCCCGCCACGACACCCAGCGATTTTTTGGTTGCAGCCGTCATTGTTGTTTGGCGGGTCCAGGCTGGGGATTCGAACCCGCCACCTTAGGTGTACGTGGCTGGCGCCTTAGCCGGTTGAGCTATAGGCGCCGAGCCTTCTCCCCAATTTTCCATATTGTTATATTGCTTGTCAATCCAAAATAAACCAAAGCAAACAAATACACTCTTCAAAAATTCTCTTTCCCTCACTTGGTTTTAAATTTTAAACATGACTATGTTAATAGTTCTTACCTGGGCATCTGGGTCCAAGTAAAAAAGTTTAACTCTGCTTTCACTTTTCAGTTTGATTTCAGCATCTCTGGTATTCTGATAATAAGATAAATAAAAATTACTCATAACAAAATCATTCTCTTACAGAGATCTACATATGTTTAAAAGCTGCCCCATCATGAAGGTGCAGGCTGCTAGAAAATTCTACCTCATCTTGGAAAGTTGGCTTCACATCGTCAATAAGGAGGTATGTGCCAGTGAGCACACAGCACACATGGTGAGTGCCGAGAGGGAAAAAGAAGTCCAGACACACCACCCTCACCGCTGGGAAGCCAACAACCTACTGGACAGTCAAAAACAACAGAAAGAAAGCAAAAGAAATAAGCACTTATCTGTCAAGAAAGGCTTCATAAAGTAATGGAATATAAAATGGGCTTTGAATGAAAAGGCAGAATTTAGAGAGCAAAAGGGAGAAAAATATGAACATTCCAGGTATAGCACAAATAGTGAGGATGGAAATGAGCCCAGATGGTAGAAAGGCTTTAATAGGGTCCAGTCTAGGAAGAGAGAGAAAGGGATACATTTCAAACGGAGGACAGAGGAAAACCATGGCAGATCATTCTATAAATATTCACTGAACACCTATGTGCCAAGCACTGGGGACATAAACATGAACAACATCCCCACCCAGGGGATGGGGACACCAGCTGGGCAGACAGCATTTGGACAGGTAGTAAGAAAGGCAAAGTGGGAGCTCACCACACTAGGAAGTGGGAGTCAGGAAAGGGCATCCAGAGAAGGCCCATCTTGAAGGACAGGAACAGTTGGCCAGCAAACAAGAAAAGGGAAGTCTGGGAGGAGCACTGCAGGTGTGAAGGGGCAAGTCACTCCTGAGCAATGACCAAGTCCTCTGCTAAGCCATGTGACTGGGCATGATGGAAAAGGCAAAGAGAAGTGAGTCTGGGACTTGCCTTCTAAGGACTGAAGATTTCATTCAGAATTCAAAATATATGGCAATTATTTTGGGCAAGAGAATAAAATGAGAGTTCCACAGTTTAACAGCAAGACTTGGGTAGGGCTGAGGCAATAGGGTATAATGGGAAAGACCAGAAGAGGCCCCCAGTATCTTTCCTGGGTTATCACAACAGTCTCACAAGTCCCACAACAAGGCCCACCATTTCTAGCCAGGGGGGCCTGCTGAATGGTGAATCCATTACCTGGGACAGGCAACTCAAGGAGAAGAGCAAACCTGTAGAAAAGATGTAAACAAAGTAGAGTATGAAAATGTCTGCAGAATTTCCAACTGGAATCATGCAGTGGACAGAGTGATGGAACTTGAGCATAGGCAGAGAGAAAGCTGGAGTTACAGACTCAGAGAACAGCACACAGGAGGGCACGGAAGTCTAGGGAGACTGTGAAAGAGAGTCTGAGGACAGAATCCCTGGGCCTACCAGTGAAGGGGTGGATAAAAGAGGAAAAGCCACTGAAGAAAACAGACAGATGGTGGCAGAGATGGGGGCTGGAGGCGTGGGAGAGAGCGAAGAGGCTTCTTGCATATTCGCAAAATAGACATCATCTCTATGCTCGTTATTTCACATGCTGGAACCTCTAAATCTGCACCCTATTCTTCTTGACAGTCAGAGCTCTCTATTACTCTCACTCTCCACAGTTAAGTCTATGGAGTCAGAATAGAATGTCGTCTCTCATCTGCTACTTTCCCCAAAGATATGAGTCACCTCAAAGCACCTGATGCAGTGCAGTGACAGCACAGTGGAAAAAGCATCTTGTCTTCTCTTGAGGCTGAAGGAGCTCTATTATTACACTTCTAATCCAGGCTAATGAGAAGTAAAGAGGCTTTCTCAGTCGCAGTTGTTGTATGCAACAGATCCTTAGCAGTAATCTAAATTCTCAGGACTGTACTTACCCAACTGTCTATGTCTAATGAAATGACCACCAGAATACTAATGAAGAAACAGGGTTTCAGTTCAGTTTGTTCAGTTGGTAACAAACCATGCAAAATGCCCTGGACTTCATGTTCATTTGTGAGCAAAAATGTTGAACAAGATGATGGTTCACATCTCTTGCCACAACACAGTTTATCCTGATGCAGTCACTGGGGGCTTGAAGACTGTGGAGGTCAAGGGGCATTTCTACAAATCTTCCATTAATGCTTCCAGGGAAAAATATGTGGCTGCAGAGGAGGCAGACTCTCTCCACAGGGAGGATGGGACAACTTCATTTTACTTGGTCCTGCCTATTACCTTCTAAATGTTTTACATCAAGAGAGCTAAAGCACGCGCAAGTGGAAACTATTTAACTGAACCCAAAGAATTTGCTTTATGTTGCATACTGCCCATGATGCTAGCAGTATGCAACATAAAACCATCAGTGCTAGCTGCAGTAAGCCACCACCACCAATGACATATTCTGCTTCTGAACTGTCTGACTCCTTCCACAAAGGCAAATACTGTATTGTGACCTCAGATGCTAGATTAGGGCAGTGGGTTCTTAATGCAGATGCAATTCCTGGGGCCTTTCTGAAAGATGCTTGTCTGAAATTGCTGTGATGAGAGATGAGAAATGAATAAAGCAGGAACTACACCATGAGCTCCAATACAGTTAGAGAAGAAACAGGGAGGCAGACATATCAAAAGAAAAAAGAAATGAACTACCAGCCAAAATAGACACAATGTTGCTGCTAATACCCAACAGATACATTCTTCACTGGAGAGATCCTTTAATGAGAAAGAAGCAACAACTTCAGATATAAAAATAACCTAAAAGCTTGTCAGCTACCTTCTATATATTGACAGCTCAGCTATGAGATAGATAAAAAGCAAACTTGGCTTCTTATGGTTCCTCCCAGCCCTTCTAAGGCCTGGGATGATGCTATTAAGGCACTCCCAATAAATAGTGGCTGAAGGAATTGCCAAGAAAAATCTAGGAGGCAAGAAAACATGGCTTTGGAGGGCAGGGTTTGACCCCAGAGTTAGCGACTAATAAATATCTGGAATAAATAATGATAAAGGCTAATATTTATTGATAATAGCCAGTATCTATCTGCTGGATCTTATTCTAAGTGCCCTTTCAAGTTTTATAGAGCGGTAGGAGGCAGGTCTCGCCAGAAGAGGAGGCACCAAGGCGTGAGGGTGAAGAGCACTTTGCCCAAAGTCCTACAACATGAAACGGAAGCCTTGCCTCTACCTCAGACCATCTGGCTTCAGAGCCCAGACTCTTAATAAGAAAGAAAAGTACATTATACAAGCAGGTAAGTCAGAAAAGAAGAAGAAACCCAAACAGAAAATAAATATACATAAATTATTAATAGTATCGCTACTAAGTAGTGAAATATAAATTAAAATACCATTTTTCCCTTCCTTTGATGAGGATGCAGAGAAATAGTAATGTTAATTGTAATAACCCTATGAGAAAGAAATCTGGCAATATTTAAAGCATTAAAAACACAATAACCTTTGACCTAAAAATTCCTATCATGGAGAATTTCTCCTACTAAAATAAGAGCACAAGTATTTACTATCATGTTGTTTATTGTACCCTATTGGTGGAGGCTAAAAACTGAAAGTAACTTAAATGCTCACCAATAGAGAGATGACTGGGTAACTATGCATAGCCACAGCTAGAACACCATGCAGCTTACTTTTCTGTAAGGTAGATTATAAGCCCTCTGTGAAAATGAGCAAACTTGGTCAGGCACAGTGGCTGAGGCCTATAATCCTAGCACTCTAGGTGGCCAAGACAGGTAGATCACTTGAGCCTGGGAAAGAGTGAGATCCTGACTACTAAAAATAGAAAAACTAGCCAGGTATTGTGGCAGGTGCCTGGAGTGTCAGCTACTTGGGAGGGTGAGGCAAGAGGATGGCTTGAGCCCAAGAGTTTGACATTGCTGTGAGCTATGATGCCATGGCACTGGCACTCTACCAAGGCAACAGAGTTAAGACTCTGTCTCAAAAAAAAAAAAGGAAAGAAATGAAAATGAGCAAACTCCATTTTCTACTGACCCCAGAGACATCTATGAAATATTCTTAAGTGACAAGACAAAATTTCAGCATCATGTAATATGTATATATCATGAGCATATTTTTAAAATATATCTAAAAATCCCTATATGTGTATGTATGCTTCTATGAGCAACCAGTCTAGTGAAAGGGCAAGAGCAACAGGTTAGTGTCATTATCCTGAGGAAGGTGAAACTGGAGGATGAAAGGAAAGGATTAACTTTTCTTTAAACAACTTCATGTATTTGTCCTTATTATAGCAAGCACATTTAGTTTTAATTAAAAATTTTAACACAGACAAAATAAATACTTAAATGTACTTTCACAACCTAATAGCCCACAAAATATAAAAAACTATGATCCCAAAGACTGTTCTTGAGCACAGAAACGAGCTCTGCTGTTACAACAACCTGTGGACAGCCCATATCACAGTGGTAGAAGGAGCTGCTGGCTTTTACCCAAACACCTAGTGGCCACCATCCTGCCCACAGCCCACTGACTACTTTGGGTTCAGTGGGAAGGAGAATGGAAGAAAATGGAGACAGAAAATGGACAATGGTACAGCCATTCTCTGGAAACTGGCACTTGCTCAAAAGTCAAAGAGAATGATTCACCTAAAACAAAGTCTGCTCCCCCACCCCACTCTGTAAAGCCCAAATTCAACCCCTAATGATAGCACTTTCTGGATTGGGATATAGAGAAAGAAGTACTTATTATAAAATTGGTTTAAAAAAATCAGAAAAGATGCCTGTGAAGTGGTTTGTGTTCCAACAAGTTCTGCTGAGCTGGGTCCTGTGATCCTTGCCCAATCTCAATTAGACTATTATAAAGTTTGAGACACCCAACTTTTTCCTGTGTTCAGATGTGGAAGATTTGTCTGAAAAGATAACATTCACTTAAAAAGAAGCTATAAGGTAATAGAATGTGAGCAATTTTGGATTAACATGAAACTCCATTTCACTTTCAGAACCACAGTGGGAGACCAAATTAAGAACAAGCTGCTGCTGAATAGAATAAAAGCTCAAAATCAGAAAAGCTGTGGAAGAAAATATAAGATGTGAGCATAAGGGTTTTCTTCAC